AGTAAAAATTCCTTTAAGTCCACCAAAAATTAAATTCGTTTATTGATTCCTACATATATTACTCTGGGTCTCAACATGAAGGCTCACTTTAAAGATGGATACTAGTCAACCACAATACTAGACATTTTAATGCTGTGGAACAAAACGACGAAAAGTGGGATAGGAATAATGAGTACTAGTATCAAACAAACTTTACAGAACTAAAACTGAATTATCTTTATATCTGAATGTAGTAGTAAATAGATCCCCGAAATAAATAGTTCTGTAAATTTTCATTAGTGATAACGAATTCATTATTTTTACTGAACACAACCTAAATGGAAGCGCTTGATGTACACCAGACCGCGAGTAGGTGAATCATGCTATGCATATTCCTCAACCACTAGCCAGAATAGATTAACCACTTCTCTACTTATCCATAACTTTACGAGTATATTGTTAAACTCCTTCCTTTAGACTTAATACCTCTTGAAATTTTCCTGATTTGAATGATGGATTAATGAACGATGGGGTTTAAGCTAATGTATTCATATGAAAATCTGTTACAAAAAGTAACAAGGTTCAACCAAAACATGCTGACGACCTTCTATAAACAACAAACGTACGCACAAAAACCAGATTACAGTTTCCATTCTTCATAAAGCTTGCTAACTGGTCAGGCTGTGATCTGCACAGGACCGAAATTCGGGCATGTTACTAGTAATAATGTTCATGAAAATGAATACATGTTGAAACTAATTGATGATATGAAGGAAGAATATGGAAATTACACAAATAGTTATTATCGAATCACTCTCAACTTTGTGTTTATTGATTCAAAATTCATCCATCGGTAAGGCACAAAAGTTTTAGACCCAAAACAAAAGACATACTTGAATGTTTTAATGGGATCGGCCGGCTTAACTTTTAGGGACACCAAGCATAAATATGTTCAACAAGTATGCCAGAAACGTGGCAAACTGACAACGGTCAGAGAGAATAAGGCCTATGAGGCGAATCACACTTATTATATCAAACAGTTATGATAGTGATGTATGTATCTCCATAAGGAAATTAACAAGTCGACTTGAACCACATTTCATAATCAATAAAAGTAATCGTACTGATGGGCTGACATTGTGAAGGGTATAAACAATAACAAATTTATCCATATTTAATTTAAATTGACCCATATTCACTAGTTTTAGAACAAGTAATCTGCTATTAAGAATATCGCCAGCCCGCTAATTTTATACTATGATAGAAGTTTGACCACCCAGTCTTATCTCAGATGAATTCTAACAGTCACTATGTACATACATTATATGTGACATAGAAACGGCTGCAATTAAACGCAACTCAATTTCGTAAATGTGCCTTTCAGCTTAGCAACCAATCAGAATGTGGCGGGAATTATTGTATCCGCCATCTTTGTACGTAATGGCGGCCGGCTTTCTTCGTTCTGTGCTTCTTTTAGCTATTTCTTTTGTGTAGCTGTGTAATTAATGTTTCAATGTGCTAAGATGCCGCAGTTAGTGTAGGGTGTGAAATTTACTTCGAATCAGCATTGTTTTTCGGGTTTTTGCTGCTTCTACTCTAGTCAATGTATTTCTTCAGTCAAGCTGGTTAGTCTTATGTTTTAAAATGGAAATCGGTTTAGTTTTGACTTGTTTTCAAGATATCAAAAGCCAAAGTTCGTTTTTTCTTAGCTGAAATAACTGTTGCTGCGTCCTGTGACTGACTGTCCGCATGTTCATTCCTAACTGTCCTCTATGATGTTATCGGCAAAATGAAAGGAAACAATTTCCGGTTTTTAATTTTCTTCAGTATTGCGGACAACAATATCCCACCAATGAGTCAAACTAATACTTAGTGCCTAGCCGTAGGGGATGTCAGTATTGTTTTCGAAAGTACTCAGGCTTCCGACAACCATAGACGAAGTCACAGGTGCTACCAATCTATTGCAGAGGGTTTGTTATGAAAAAATATGCCACATAGCAGTAATGGAGAGGTCGTACTCGTTACGTAGTGCGTTAAAGCAAGCTTAACATTGAAAAGCCTGAAGTCTGCTATCAGTGTGTAGTGTATGTTTGGTGTTTTGGCCACAAAAGGAAGCCGAAGGGTCATGATCAGGTAGTAAAAAGGTAACTAACTGTTATTAAGCTCACCTCTTCATAGACCATAATTCACCACTTGCAAATTTGTGTTTTTTTACGGTATGATGTCAACCGTTATCAAATATGTTCACCCTTACAATGAAAAGTACTTGCAAATTCTCACCTTCATATTCGAATTATTTTGAGACAACTGTTTTCCAGTTTGAGTGCTTCGTACGCCCTGGGAGACTAGATCCCTACATTATTCGTAGTTCCAGTATAACGTTCTCACGCAGTAAGTTCAGAGTAGACACTAGTCTTTCTAAATAAGCCTGGTGAGCTAATATCCGTATTTTCTATTTCAGTTAATCGATGAAGACCATGTACCGCGTGCATCTGCTGTATATTGTTATTTTACTCCAATTCTAACTGTTATATCATCTGAAAAATAAAATTGCTATATGCAGCAAATACAGATTTATTGTTTTGATGGTGGTAGGGGGGTTCATGGGTTTTTTAGCAGGACTGTAGTAATATTCCCACTAAAGAGCTAAGTGAGTGCGTAGACCAATGTAAAGTACCATACAGGGTGCCTTTGAATTACTCGTGTTCCATTAGTTTCGGTAGAAGCACTACTTGCTTATCATATGACATTTGAATAAGGAGCTATGAGATTAGATGCAGGGACGGTTAGGATGTGTAACGCGTGTCCATCCATCAGTTTTCGTGGCAACTCACGGTGGCTAGAATAAGTTGTGAGAGGACCCGAGCCTGTAGGTTTCCTAAGAAAGTGACGGAGATATGCACCAAATCACCTTATGAAGAGCGCCTCCAACCACTTAACCTCTACTCATTAAAGTATAGACGTCTTAGAGGTGATCTATTTACTTACAGGATCCTTAACACTTCTGGACATTTTCTTAAACACCTATTTGAGCTTAGTCCCAGAAACTAGAGACACGACATAGCAGGATGGACTGTAGACGCAACTTCTACTCCTTAAGAGTTGTCGAATGCTGGAATTCGCTGCTCGCCGAACTAGTCCAAGCGACTTCCCAGGAGTCATTTGGGAGGCGACTGGATCTTTTATTGTTAACATACCTAGGTTCCTGCTTGGAGGTTTTGGTGATCCCCTGCTACTTGACACGGAAGCCTGAACACATGAATTAGGTGATGAGAGGCTCGATTATCACAAGTTTCTTGCAACGATTAAGTAGATAAAACAAAGTAGCATTAGGTTCAAAAATTCATTCGAGAACTTTCATTAAGAATCGAATATGAAACAAAGGTTTAAACCAAGTTCCAGTCTAAAAGTTGCATTTGTAATGTTAAGCTGCAGTTTTTGTTGTTTTTTCCAAACGAAAGGTTAAAAGAAGTAACTCAAAAAGTACTGGAAGTGGTTGTGAGATTAAAATGGACATCCAGCATCCTTTTTATAATCTGCTGTTAGTTGGGTCTCCCGTAAACAGACCCATAGGGCCATAGTTCTAATGGCGAAACAGTTCTTAACATCTGTGAAGACTCAGTCCTGTTGCATTCTAAATGAGAAAACAGTAATGAATTTAGTCAGAAATGTGGAATAGATAAATAACCAAATTACATGTATTTTAGCAAAGAATTTATGCAGTTGTGATTTACCTTTAGTTCATGAATATTAGGTCAGGTCAGCTATTTATTGTGCAAAGCATAACATGGACTTAATACCGTATCTCAATGCTTTTATTATTTTGCTCTCATTTAAGTATTACCATGTATCTGCATCTAGTTTAACAGGGAGACATACAAGCAGAGTTAGTGTTTGATGAACTAAAAGTCCTAGTTGTCAAAAAGATTCTTAACATTTGTCCACAGCCAACTGCATTTAATTGAAATACAGAACACTCATCTAAGACTGTATACTGCTCTTCTACGGGCAAATAAAAGCTCAGATACTTAGCTATCCTGCTACCGATGTTATTGCTGGGAAAATTGTTTAATGACAGTGATCATGAAATATGGTCAGTGATAGATGTACAATCTAGAAATAAACACCAAACATACTTATCGCTATCTTATAATGTATGACAGCAACAGTACCATAAGCACTTTCTTCCTATTTTTAATCAGACTGATTTGAATCAGTATACTCATCAGAAACAGGCAACTCTACTTACTAGGCTGATCTGTTTCGTTACAGACTTCAAGCACTATACCATAATTCTTTCAACTAAACTGAATTATACGACAACCAAGAATACTAAACTAAGCAAGTGTCATAGTTATTGTTTCATTTGCACAGGCATATTGCTTAAAGTAGTTAAATGGACATAATTAAGACGATAAAACAAAAACACGAAATATAGGCCAATTGAACTTACCGAACAGAAGACAAAGAATATATATATTGCTTTCCGACTGAAAACAACAGGTAGTTGTTCATAAAAACATAGTTTATAGTACAATAAACCTTTCTACAGTAAAATCATGCACTGACAGTCTATCTGGAAACAATCAACTATGTGAATAAACTCACTATGACTTGAGATATCATCCCAGTATGCAATGGACGTGCAGTGTAACGCAGTCGAACGTGGCGAATAAAATATAAAAAAGATCAAAATTAGCTATATAATCTAGTTATTTAATTAAAAATACATTATGGAATGTCAAAATCTGTGGTTACTTGAACGCACAGATGACCGGTACATTAAGTTTACATGGTTGCGTTGCGGATAAGATCACCCCATAGAAACACCTCAAACTACATTGAATTCATTATCGTTGGTCAGCCTCTGAATCTTAAAGTTTCCATATTTTCCTGAAGATAAAAAAGTAGCGTAATAAAAGCCCAAATTTCCTCATTATGGTTATTGGGAATTGATCCATTGCTGCACACACGGCCTCAAGGGTGTGGAGTTTTTGAATTTTCGTAACATACCACCGAAAATGAATCCGATTGCGAATGCGGCTATACCTATTATCCCTCCTGTTGCTACGCCCAATTTGCTAGTCGGACTGCCACATATGGCAGCTCCTGGAGCTTTGCCTTCCGTAACTCCAGCTGTTGTCATGCCCCAAGCTGTTACACACATGCCAGAATCAATTGGACAACCAAATAATACCATATACATAAACAATCTGAATGAAAAGACAAAACGTGATGAATTGAAGAAATCCCTATACGCAGTTTTTGTTCAATTTGGTCAAATACTGGACATCATTACATGTAGGTTGAGTTTGTTAGACTTAATTTTTGGTCGAACTTCTTATCCCTAGTTATCCCACCCAACAATAAGCTTGTGTTATTTGCATGATATCTTTGAAACGCGATAGTATAACGTATGTTTACTTAGCTATTTAGTGTTAGTCTCACATCATTTCAGGACTCCGAATTACAGTGCTAACCCGAGCTCCCAATTTTGGGTGAAATTTGACCCATTTAGGGGAAGGCACTATAGTAAACTTTTGGGGAAATTACACTTAAACCCCAAAATTCGTCTTTAACTTTGGTCAAGGCCATTTAACTTCAGGAGTTTCCCCAAAACACCCCAAAATGTCCCCGAACTTGGGAGCTCGGGAACTAGATCCTCATGTATCAAAAGTCGCTCCATACCTACAAAAAAGTTGAAAAGTCTGCCCGTCTTTAAATTATTCATTTCGTCTGATACGGGCTCGTTATTACTTCTATGCTACGTCTCCAACACAGAGCTAGTACGGTTAATAGTAAAAAAGCCACATAACAATGAGAATATTTGTCCATTATAAATGGAAGCATTTATTTATTTTAACACATAGATATTGATACAAGGAGGCACCAAATACATATGCGCCACACAAAATCTCATTTGATATATGTGAGGGCTAGGATATTGCCCTAGTGCCCAAACCGAAGCAGGTATTCTAAATGGAGCCTAAAAAGTCTCTAGTGTGCGTAATATTAATGCCACAGGCCACTATGACTCGCGACTTATTGAGAGTAGAATTTCACCACATTTTTGGGGTTGTCATTTGTTTTCACTGATCTTTGAGACGCATAAATGCTTCCACTGACCAATTTACGTATTTAAGACTGGCGGTAATGAATGCTAGTTGTTTCTGTCACCCCATATCCCTTGATCATTGACTTAAAAAGGATTGTGCGTTGACATTAAGTAGTTCTTTTTTATGTGTAGTAAATAGTTTTACTTAACGTCATTTAACCACTTGTTCAGAAAACGGGAGTCTGGTAAAAATTTAGGTATTCTTCGATAGTAATGATTAATATTTAGGTTACACATAAGCTCACTAATAATGAAACCTGATTTGGTTGTATCTATCACTCTAACTGTGCTAGGTGTTACATTTACCCCACAACTTGTTAATCGGGTTAGGGTTTCTGTCGTTTATTGTGTAGAAGCTTGCAATATTATCTTGTCACTCATAGTGAGGTTCTACGTGCTGGAATCAAAGCCGTTAAGAAGCAGCTATTAGCTTTCCATGATTTATGCTTCTAAACTTCCTTGAGTTTTTTAAAATATAGTTATCCATTAAAAGACAGCTTTACAATGTTGTTACCGATCAGTTTACATGTATAGCTTACTAGCTGCAATCATTTTGACTTCAGCATCATTTAGTCAGATTTTGGTTGATATAGATATTTTCAACGTTTTAAATACATCAGAAGCTGTTGATTGAAAAGTTTTAATATGACGATATTCCTTTACTGTAAGATATGTATTTGGTCTTAAGAATATACTATGGTATAGTTATCTGAATACTTTACTCCTTATCACACCAGTCTCCTTAGAGGTATACTAGATCTTACTCCATGGATAGACTATAGGGTTTGTTGTGTCCATAGAAATACATATCATATGAGTTAAGAAGCACTTCTGATGTGTGTTCAAGGACGTGTACTAACTTAAGAGTTGATTACCATTTACGGGCAGTTGACAATTTCTTACGTTGTAACAAAAAATGTGGAGTTCACCTCCAAAGTGATGCCTAAAAAAGTATAATTTTAAACTAGTACATATTTCTAATCCGGACATTGAAAATATGATTTGCATTATATATTACATAGTCTCAGTTTGACCAGGAACACTGTTGATGTATCCAATCATAATATCACTTAATAATAGCCCATTAATAACAATCGTAACAAATCATTTTATTCCCTATCTTGTTGTAAATACTCAACAAAACCTTTTGATTTTCTTCTAAATATCGCATCATGTTCATTCCAATTGCGAAGTTTTTTTAACATAGCGCGAGCTTAATTTTGCATGTTACTATTCAAGCCTGTACGCTATTCTACATGTTTCTGTGAATAATTATACTCCGTGTCGTTTTGTACACACTTATTGTTGAATTACGGAAGTGTTGTATGACATAGACGAAACATGTTATCGCGACCTACATTTTCACTAATCTTTACTACTGTTCAGATTAATTCTAAGTTGTCATAATTTTATTGTTCCTTTCGTAGCACGAACACTCAAAATGCGTGGTCAAGCTTTTGTTGTCTTTGATGATATCAATAGTGCGTCCACGGCACTTCGGGCAATGCAAAGCTTTCCATTGTATGAAAAACCCATGCGAATACATTTTGCCAAAGTTGATTCAGATGTCATTGCTAAACGTAAAGGCACATTTGTACAACGACCAAAAGCTGCATCAAGAGCAGCAGCTGCGGTCGCTGCTGCTGCGGTCGCTGCTGCTGCCGAAGCCGCAGCTTCTGCTGCTGCAATTAATTCAGCCGGTCCACAAGGAGGCACTAGTGCTAGAGCTATCCGTAGAAGACAACAAAGAGCTGCAGCAGCCGCTGCTCTCGCTGCCGCTGCCGCTGCAGCTTCGGCCTCAGCTAACAATGATACCATCGGTGAAACAAATTCTAATGGTGTCGATCAAAATAATAGTTATCGTCCTCCTCCACCACCACCGACTGTGAATCCAGCAACTATTCCAGATCAACCACCTAATAAGATTTTATTCTTAACTAACTTACCGGATGATTCTGACGAAGCAATGTTAAGTATGCTTTTTGGACAATTCACTGGCTATCGAGAAGTTCGTATGGTTCCAGGAAGACATGATATTGCTTTTGTTGAATTTGGTAATGAAGTAGAGGCATCAGCTGCAAAACTTGGCCTTCAAGGTTTTAATATTCGACCCGGTCAAGCTATACGTATTACTTTTGCGAAGAAATAAAAGGACTTTGAAACAAAATTAGTTCATTCATTTTAAGTATGAATTTCTTCAATCTTATTACTTCATACGTGTACATGTTTACAATTTTCAATAAAATTAAAATTCTATTTGGTTTTAATGAGTTTTCTTTCTCATACCAATAATTGATATTATCTGATTGTTGAAAAAATGATGACGCTTATTGTTGTTTTTCCTTTTTAATTGATTATATCTGTATAGACTTTGGCTTTTGGTTTGTTCCGTATGAATAGATTGTATTGAACGAACCCTTGTGTATAACATCAGTTTTAATGTACTAAACACTAGATAGCTAAAATATTTTGTCATTAATTTTCATTGCCTTTACGAACCAGTCTAAATGTTATAACGGATCCCATATTTACTCATACTTGTCATTTATCAAAAATTCCAAAGTAGCAAAATGGATTGATTTTGTGGTGTGTAGGTTTTAAAGGCACTTAGGTCACTGGGAAAAACTAAAATGTTACTATAATCACATTCAGTTGACTACTTTGCCCACGTAATCTATTTCTTAAAATGGTCATCCAATACGTTTTTAGATTGTATGAATAGAGTAGTGAACGATATTCATTCAGACTTCACAGCTGACGTAACTACTTGCAACCACCATATCTACATTGTTGTACGTACAGGACTTCTTAAGTTGTGTATGATGTTTTGTGACTGGAGGTAATCTACAGGAATTACTGGACCCAGAAGTAATGTTGTCTGACGCTTAAACGAGGGACATCTTCAGTCTTGGAGTAACTTCATGTGACAATCTAGAACACTGAGTTAGTCATAAAGAGAACATCAGTCTCCCTAAGACTGAAGATACGTCTTACGTAAGAGCGTTAAGTGTCTTAGAACTTAAACACAGTGCTTCTTTCAAGTTGCCTCTAATATCAAAGTGAAATGCACTGTGAAATCGATTAATTTTGACAATTATCAACATTAGAACCTGGCCGTCAAAATTCATTAAACACTCAGTACTAGATAACATGACATTGCTAAGTAACTATTCAGTCTAAGCTGCATAAACATGTTCGGTCTTTAATTAGTACAATTTGATTGTTACAATTACTCCATAGAAACCTTAAACTAGTCTGAAGTTTATTCTTCCAACTAAAACTTGTATGGTGAAGCAGTGGCTCAGTAGTAATAGTGTTTAACTTTCAGTCATTCAGTCACCCATGGGTTCAAATCCCCTCCACTTCGGTCTAGGAAGTCGAATCATATCGCTAGTCGTCTCCAAATGTGGTTCAAATTCATTGACAAAAATCTGTACTCCGATTATGAGCTAATATTAATGATGTATAATTGACCTTTATTTATTTTATGATTATTTGTTTGAATGGATTAAAGCTTGATTTATGCACGTTATGCAATGAAATTAAGATTATTGTAGCCTGATTTCTACGCAGTAGTTGTCCGTTTGTACATTTTCAGTCCACTAGCATACAGATTGAAATTTGCGTGTTCTTTATATGTTTTGATCATAGTAAGAAAGCAATCTCATCAAAGCATACGAATGCAGGCTTATACAGAATTTCCATTTTCGACAGATTAATTAAAGTACAAAAAGCGCATTTTCCAAACTGATGCTTCCAATCAAAAAGCAAACCTATAAATAATACCCTAATTTCACTTCTAATCTGAAACTACTGGTAATAATAGTAACATATACTTCATAGTTCACATCACTGACTGACTAGACAACTATTCTAAACTAGGCAACACTGGACAGCTGTTTCGTTCTCATGAAAATCCTCAGACAGTTCTTGATGTAGACTTTAAAACTTAAAAATCAAAAAATCCCCCACACTGATTATATATATAATATCAAGTCCTACCTTCCAGCATGTAATACTATTTCAATTCATTCATTATATTCCTTCTTTATTTTCATATATATACGGTGTGTGCATGCGTGCGTGCTCGGATTTGATAAATATTAGTTCTATAAATGGATATCCGACCAAATCACACGTTGTATGTGAATAATCTAAATGACAAAGTAAAGAAAAACGATTTGAGAAAAGCACTATATTATATATTTGGTCAACATGGTCGACTAATTGATATTATAGCTATGAAAACAATGAAAATGCGTGGACAAGCATTTATTATTTATCAAGATATTGCTTGTGCAACGCAAGCTTATCGTTCATTACAGGGATTTCAGTTGTTTCAACGAGTAAGTTTATTTTGTTTAGTCCTAATGCATGTATATATTTGTATACTTATGCAGTGTTGTGAAAGAATTGAAGCTATAAATTGATCATATTGGATATGTAGCTATCAGTGAAGCTTAAGACACGCATTTTGTCCTATCTGTAGATCGTCAGCTGGGTGTATTTGGATTCCAGTGTTGATGTTCACACTGACTCAAACTCTATACTGTTCTCTTCGAGCAATTATCATGTTATCCATTGAACTATTAAGTACAGTGATCCACTCAACTATTCAGCAGGTACAAATGTGTCAGTAGATGTATGTGATTTCCTGTTGTTGATACTCAGGGCTGCAATTAATCTTTCTCCGATACGTGTGCATCCTTAGCGGTTTGCCGCGATATAGCTTTATCACAGGGTTCAGTATGCGTCATTTGGCATGCTTGAATATCAACAATGGAAATTTACGGTTTTTTCACCAACACTACTTAGTACTTTAAGTAAAATTAAGTCTTACATTACTCAGTAACCAACTTGTGGTTCATGTATTACAATTTGAGTCACATATTTTGTTTGAGAGCTAATGAGACCACCACTGCTACCACTACATATCTACGCGATGTTCAAGTTTATAACCATTGACTGGAAATCTTACCCCTTGTCTACTGAGCAAATTTAAGCGGTCAATTTGAAAATTTAAACATCACTTTCTGTACTTTGAAAGATTTCCCCACTACTAAATCCATTTCAATAATTAATTATTTCCACGTAGTTATACATCAAGTAACAGTTTGTCTAGGTTACAAGTCTTCACACAAGTTGTTGAATGCACCGGGAACAAACATACTTTGTTAAACACATACATTGAGATAAAATAACCAGTTCAATATGGCTAAGTGGATCATAATTACATCAATCAATTAAGAAAGTGGATATTTTAGACGTTCCAAAAAATATAGACTAGAAAACTTTGCAATAGGTTAACAGTTACTTATAAGTAATATTGTCAAAAAGCATGACTCAAAAGTCATAAAACAATACTAATAACATGAAGTTTTGTACATGGGGTTGTTAAGTTTCAATTGTGTTAGATATTGTGAGGCTTCATATGCACTTGAAAGGGTCAGTTGGTATCTTTCGTTCATTATTTTTCGAAGATCATCTTACGAACTAAATAATAATGATAACAGGTTGGTTGAGTCCAGATATATGATGCTCCTGTGCGCACATAGTGTATTAAAGCCAAGTGCTAAGTGATATATAACGAACAAGTCATTATATCGAATTTAGCTAATTGTGCCCTTTTCAAAGGTCTTGGGTATTATCCCTGAAGGGCTATATATATATATGACGATATTACTGAAAATACTATTCACGCTTCGATTGCAAGTCAAACAATTCACAATATTATTATTATTACCACGTCACTTGTTCACTCTCTTTTATTCCTACTTTGTGTATCCTTATTTTACAACTTAAACAGCAGCTCGCTTATGGTGGAAACTCGGTTCTATCTAAACGATCTCGAGTCACTGACTGGTCGAAAATTGAATGCTACCACCGAATACGAATACTGAAACAGTTTTTCTGAAACCACTGTGTGGCGCATATATATCTGGTGCCCCTTGTACCAATATTTATGTATTCAAATAAAATAAACATAATAATAGTCTAACAGCGTATAATCGACTGTTAATGGGGATCCAATCGATTAGTGCTGCCTCAGCTCTAGCGCTTAGTACAACACCAACGACAGCAAAACCAAAAGAAGATGCCACAGGGTCCCCGGATAAGCGCACATAATAGAAGCTTTTCGAAGTGAGAAATAGGGAGCGGATTTGTAGTACTTCACTGGACTCTTGAATACAGGTATCGGATAGACAACAGAAGTCGATATTAAGACTTTCACTGGTAGTACTATATAAAAGAAAGATTATGTGTAAGGATATAATACAGGAAGGAAGGATTAGTTCGTAGAAAGAAATGTATGAAGTAATTTTAATCACACGGTTTGAGAGAAGACAAAGAGTGTATACACCGACGCCATTGTGATTGATTCTAAGTCATGTCACCAAGACTCTCCAACCGTTGGTTACAGTAGTCATGCGGACCGCAATCTAGTAGTCTGCATTTACCAACATGGTTAGACCAGAAGTGAGTGACTTCAAGCACTGATGCCACGTTCTGGTTTGGTCGCCCCTAACTTTCTTCCAACCATCCCCAACACTAGTCACAATTGAGCGGCGTTGTAATTAGTGTTCAGGCATACATAACACGTGACCCAACCATCTCAGTTGATGAAGATTTACAACCTCATCAACTGATTTACTATCATTCCCTAATACCCTGCATCTAACCTCACTACTACTTACGCGGTGATCCCAGTAGATGCGAGCAATATTTCTAAGGCATCTGTGGTCAAATACTAGTAACTTACGGGTATCTTCTACTCTTAGTGGCCATGTTTCGTAGTCGTAAAGTAGAACGGAACGAACTGCTGCGCACTATACTCGTCCCTTAATTAATAGACGGATATCTGGCCTTTGCCATAGGTGATATAAATTGGCGAAATCCAAACGAGCTTTTCGAATCCGTACAGAGATTTCGTCAGACACCAACCCATTAGGGCTGATCAGACTTACAAGGTAAGTGAAGTTGTCAACACGTTCGACTACTTCACTTGCTATCCTTAGTTCAGGTGTTGACGCAAGCCAGCCCTGAAACAACAATTTTCACTTAGTTTGGAAGAAACACATCACAAACATCCTGTCATTGTTGCTCAGTGCTACCAGAATTATTCTCTTTTTGTTACATATCATAAAATTAATATCTGCCTTTTAGAATACGCAATCGTTACTTAATAATTCAATTGTAATGATTTATGTCATCCGATTGTTTCTGTTATGGACTGGAATTGATCAGTCTTTTTAAAAATATGTGCATCCTTAAGGAATTGTCTTGATATTGCTGTCATTCATAAGCTTTTTTAATCATATACAGATAATAGACAGTCGTAGGAGTAGTAGAATTCAAGACACACGTCTCATCCTATTTGTGAATTATCAGCTCGATGTACTTACATCCCAGTGTTGATGTTCACTCCATTACCCGTATCTACCATTAACAACCGTTCATCTCTGCTTACAAAATTTCACTTCCTATAATGTTTTATTCTGTTATATTCATATATATTTTTTTCTCAGCCTATGCGAGTAACGTATGCTAAGAAAGACTCGCAACAAATTATCTGTTTGAAAGGTGTCAGTGCTGAAGTTCAAAAGAGACGTGAAGAAGAACGCGAAAAACGTAGACGAAAGAAAATGGCACAACGTGCTGCAGCGGTAGCAGCGGCTTTACAAGCAGCTAATCAATCAGTAAATGGTCCAGTATGTTTTAATCATTATTATTATTATTTTCTTTATTTGATCATAAAAACGATTTGATCAGTTCAATATCATATATACATAGTATAGTATGGTTGTAAAATCCCCTAAGCTAGTACTTAGTTTAATTAAATGCAAAGACTTTATTCTGGACATTACATCATCAACATTCTATTCATGTATAGAACTGAACTATTTAGAGTGATACCATAAGTGCTAAATCAATTATTTTTGTGTTACTGTTGTTTATGATTGATCTAACCTCTCATATTTCATTGTCTTGATTTGTTTTTCTATTCAAGTTGACTGTTTCGTTTGATTGCTTTCTGGTCAGATTGTTTGTCATCTGGCATTTTCTTTCAAATGAAATAATTAAAGAGTTCACTTATTATAAATTAAATAAGCGTCAATTTTTTTGTTATTCAGAAGGATCACCGGGTAAATAATAGTAAGGTTAGACGCAGGGTATTAGGGAATGACGGTAAATTAGTTGATGAGGTTGTAAATCTTCATCAACTGAGATGGTTGGGTCACGTGTTACGTATGCCTGAACACCGATTACCACGACGTGCAATGCAATGTTCGGAATGGTTGGAATAAAGTTAGGGGCGGCCAAACCAGAACGTGGCATCAGTGCTTGAAGTCACTAACTTCTAGTCTGAGCCATGTTGGTAAATGCAGACTACTTGATTGCGGTCCGCGTGACTACCGTAACCAATGGTTGGAGATTCTTTGTGACATGGCTTAGAATCGGTCACATTGGCGTCGGTGTATACATTCTCTGTCTTCCCTTAAACTAAGAGATTAAAATTGCTTCATATCTTTCTTTTTATGAAGTAATTCTTTCTTCCTGTGCTATATCCTTATATGCAATCTTTCTTTTGTATATCACCACCTCTGAATTAACTACTTTTATGAATCCGGTGTTCATCTTGTTGTGTTAATGAGGTATGGTAATTTGGACTGATGCATATATGTGCCTGGTCCTACGTTGTAGCTGACTGACTGACTGAAGGATAGTGAAAGATTCATAAATAAAATCATATCACCCAGTTTACTTACCATCACCATATATATTTAACTGAGCTACAATTTTTTCCTATCATATTGTGTATATCAGTGAAATACACAGTTATTATTTTTTTGACTTGATTGTATTCAGAATTATGATAGTTAAGTTGTATTGGAAATACATCCTACTTTATCTATCATAATTCCAAGTCAATTTCAAATATATTACTTATAATGACGTTGCGTAAAAATTTCAGAGATAACTTGATGTTAAATGTCTAATATGAAATACGTTTTGGGAAATATGTATATATCATACAAATTGTTTTAACAAATTATTGGAGTAATGTACAGAAATTGTAGAAAGCGTGTAGAATGGTATACTGACTAATCATGGTATTGATTGAATTGACTTTACAATCAAATCATCCTGTATGTTGATTGACTTGGGGGATAGATCATTGAGTGGATTATTGACTCAGTGTAGTGATTTACGTCTAATCTGAAGGTACTATGTGTTATGGGGGGGAGGCGTAGAGAGCAGCGTTCTTGAAGAAAGGTGGAAAAGAGACGAATAAAAGGAAAAGTGAACCGACAACTCAGTAACCATATACAATACACTTACATTTAATGATGAAATCAGTCGATAATGACTAATACCAGCGTGTGAGCAAGAAAATTTGACATTCACAACTCGAAATGCTAGCATGAGACCTCTAATGAGCTACACTCAGTTCATATCAGTCAGCCAGTCATACACAAATTAGAACCTAACACATTTGCTTTGATTGAAGTTGCCACACCACATTAGGACAGCGAGATAGAATTATTTAAAGACATCCCAGAGCAGTGAAGTAGTAACAGCATCAGTAGTAGTGTGGTAGATGCTACATATGTTGACAGATATAAGCAGTATGTAGCACCGATCGGAAGTGAAATGCATGTCTGCAGAAGATTGGGAAGATTCAATTAACGAAAACAGAAAGTAATCGTAATGACAACGAAATTAAAAGAATCAAGAAAGATGTAAAGGACAACTGTTGGAAAATGTGCAAATTACGTATTTGATGTATGGTTTTCATATCTTACGAGTAAACTCGGTAATTTTTCATTAAACAGTAAATTGATCTTCTCCATCTGAGTTTTTGTCTACTACAGTAGTAGTAATAGTAGAAATTAGGTATAGATAAAAGTAAATGGAAGTTATAAGCAGATTTTGGAATTGAGGTTTTAAACAGGGACGAAGAGCGAATTCACCAGCAACATTGTGACAGTCGGTAGTTGTCAAGATCCAACTGAGCTTTCTAATTTTATCCCGAGATTTCGTCAGAAATCAAAGCACTAGGTTTGATGGGACTTGCAAGGTGAGTGAAGTTATCGGCGTGCCCCTCCACTTCACCCACTATCATTATTCCAAGTACTGAGGCAGAGCAATCCTGAAGTAGCATTTCGCATTTAATTGGAGAAAATCGTACTGAAAACATGCTTTCATTATTGCTTAAGTTAGTCAAAGGAATGCACTTTGTCGGTGTCTTCATTAAACAGGAGTATATCATCTGTTAATTCTAAGTCATCATCAGTCAGTTTTTGTATCTATACATTCAATACAATAAACAGACAAGCACACACATGTATAAAAACATATATGGATAAAAGTTAGTAATTAATTTTATCCAAATAATTAACGCGATCAAAGATGTCATAGATATACTTGTCAGGCTTTTTGCCTTTTCAGTTAACAATAGGTATCTACGTAAGTATGCATAGTATGAGTCTGCTACAGTGTCATTAACATAAACTAAAAATGTAGGTAAGCTCATACATACACTGATAAAATGTTTATTTATTGATTAACAGCTTAACAATCTATATGCTATAATGCAAATATAAAGCATAATCTAATAATCCATGTTATGAGATGTGTTTATTAAATAAAAGTATATATATAGTAAGAGTTTTATGAATTTGTTTAAACGCTTTAAAGTAAAATAATCAGGTATAGAAAGTTATCTATTTGTCTTTATTGAAAAATGGGTTTTATAAAGCTTTAACAGCTATTTTGTTAGTCAGTTTAAACTTGTCAATATACGGAAACTATCGAGGTGGACGTTGTATCAAGTCTTCTTATGTTCTTTGGATCGGCTTAGCAGTCTCATTTCCTTGTAATGGGTAGCAAATGGCAGTAATTCCATAGTCATAGTAAACAGTTTTACTAGTAACAGTTATCAGGACTTGGTCCAAGTGACAACAGCGACATATTAATCTTGTCTACAAGCCATTACAGATGGTGATAAAAGTTTTTAACCCATCAGTGATCATCCGTTGCTGTTGTGGATTTGAGCATAGCTGGGTAAACAATCGAATCTGGAAAAAAGTCATTTGATTATTTCTTTTCGTTCAAATCCAAATATCATACTTCTTACGTCTGAATATTTCCATTCTTCGTTGTCTTTATTTTAGTTCCTTATTTGCCAATTACTTTCATCTGTATGTTTGAGGATCTCAATCTCTGATAATGATAAGTTATTATGCAAATATCTTGAAATTTCTAAAGAAACAAAAGTCTTTAGTAAACTTGGCTTCTCTGCTTTTATATATCTATTTGATTAGCATAAAATGTGGTATAACTGGGCACCACAAATAGATTGCGCCACAAAGTATTTATGTGTGGACTGGGATACTATCCTGAAAATAAGATCGAAGCAGGTAATTTTCTTAGGGCCCCCATTCCTCGAGCCTTTAACCCTGAATTTACTCCACAAAACAGTGGCACAACATCATGTGATACGTTTTCATGGTAGCCGGTAACCAAAATGAGTTCATACACCCTACTCCTGGAGCACTTGCACATAATCATTCAACTTCCTTGGTTGAGCCTTCCGTATTCACTAGCCCGGATGATTGAAGAGCCACTTCCCGTCCTCCCAATTTTGTAGAAAATACCCGCGCCACAAGAACGCAGTTAATAGGACCTTCCTAGCAGAACCTATAATCATGTGATCATACGTTAGCATTTTACGAAAGCTAACACTCCGCGCTTCCTTACTTGTTTAGATGTATGATGTGTTAGTGACTTGGACCATAGTATTAATTCACGTATTCTAAAAAAACCGTTTTAATTTTTTCCCCAATAAATATTTTAAAATACACTCCATCACTTTTGTCAAATATCTTTTAGGCGGGTACCGGTGGAGATATCAATGCATTGTTAGATCAACCAAATCATATTTTATTTGTTAGCAATTTACCAGAAGAAACTACTGATGCTATGCTTACAATGTTATTTAGTCAATTCTCGGGATTTAAAGAGGCTAGACGTGCTGCTGGTGGAGTTGGCTTTGTCGAATATGATACTGAATCACAAGCTGCTGCTGCGCGATCTGCTTATGAAGGATTTAAACTGACACCGACTCATGCTATGCAAATTACATTTGCTAAGAAATAAATATCACTTTTCTTTTTCTTAACATTATTCGTTAGTTAATTGCTATTATTGATATTATCATTGTCATTATTCTTATGATTACCTGCTAACACCGCATATTGACGTAGATGGTAATTAGACATATATAACACATGTCTCGAGCACATCACTTGATGAACATTAATAATCATATCAGCCGCTTTACTATCTTCAGTACTCTGTACATAACCTCAGAACTGCTGAATGGATTATACCGACAATATGTGAGGATTGTGTTACTAGAGAGCGATAATACCTAGCCTCATTTCAAATACCACAATTCTCCTTCCGCTTATTACACACTGGTTAAGAAGATTAGGCTTACAGAGAAGTGGATAAAAGTGGTTTTATTTAAACAAATACCACTTGCCTATCAAATAAGTTGAGAAATCGGTGTAACAAATCAGCAACAAATCTTTGCAGTAAAAAAAATTTGAGAGGGAAATTTTCAGCAACATATTATGATGATATACTTTTCGAGTTTAAGGTTTACTGAAGGAGTAAGTCATTCCTTGTGTACATGTATGTGTATGAGTATTAGATGATGTGTGTATTCCGGTTGTTGTGAATGATGTTGGTGGTGGTGAAAAAGTGGTATTGCAGTTGGCGTCAGTGTGCAATGGTGGTCGTTCTAGTGATTGTGTTTGTTTTGTTGCTGGTTTTTGTGTGCGATATGAGTTGATATTGTGTGGTATATATATAGTTTTATAGCTTTGAAAATCAACTGTACGAACAGAGCACTGTTGACTGAACCAATCTTTCTTATTTTATGACTAAATGAGTATATTCCTTTAGCCTATTCCAATGAATGTCTTGAGTTGTTTGTTTGTTGTTTAGCTCTGTTCATCTTCGACGTGTTCCTTCATGTTCTTGTTCCTCTTCTGCTCTTTTTCCTTCTAAACATACTCCTATTCATTCAATACAGGTTGGACTTGTTTGTAGAAATTATGTTGCAAATGGTGATTGAGAGACATTTTTAGCCTATCAGGATCTATATCAAGACACATTGATAGATTTATGACGTTTAAGAAAGTGTTCACTGCAACACGTTATATTAGTGATGATGATAATGATTTTCAAGGTAATGAAGATCCTTGTTGTTCTATTATACGTGAATTACATGCATATGGTAGTGCTGTTCCAGTGGCTGCTAGGAATCCCACAAATTTACAACATCAAGTACGTTCAAGTGTAATTTAATTGTTTATCGGATAAGAGATGCTTTTTTGTGTGTGTTAATAACAGTAACAATAATAATAATAGCATTCTAAAGTTATGAATTTCTGTTAAATACCTTATCAAGTCCACCGAAGTTGAGCATCCGGAGTTGGTAACAGTCACAAACTGTCATGGCATTTCCTTAGAAATATTGTTCTGCAAAAAGAAGTCTTGGTTTTTAACTCATCAAGAACTGCAAAGTTTCGGTGCAGACAAATAGAAAACTGACCAATCAATCTAGTTGGACGAGTAAGTAATACACTAAGCAATCAACAACTGATTAGTTAACAATTAATCAATGAAAAAAACTAAGAGAATAGTGCAACTCACTTCTAGTTACTCATGAGTGATGTAGTTGTCATACGCGAAATTCTCAACCTTAGTTTTCTTACGAATTGCACAAACAAATGCAAAAACCAACTCTACATTCGTACACACGTCTATCATTACTTTGACTAAGTTTACGGCAGATAATCACAGTTGATAAAATGATTCCTTAAAATTTTCGTTTCGCTCGAACTATCATCGTTTTCATAGCGGTCGATATTTTGAGAATTTAGTTCAGAAATCCTCAAGTAATCGTCCATTAATAGAATACTCACGTGTTTAGTGTGTTGTCATACACTTTCGCCACCGTGGCGCAACCGGTTAGCGCGTTCGGCTGTTAACCGAAAGGTTGGTGGTTCGAGCCCACCCGGAGGCGCTCACCACTTTTGACGCAACACATCAACAACATCAACACTCGCTTCGTAACACATCCATCAATACACTCACACTGTACACCTACTCCACAAACACACACCCGGATTACTCTCAATCACTGTGGCAATATACCGCTCCACAATCATCTCTCCATCCAACGACTACACGTCCCCTGTCCACTACCACACGTCAATTCCACCACACTCCATTCGAATTTACACTCTACACCACTGTGTCAAACACTCTCTTCAAGCATTCCACACGTCCTAACTCACACACTCACTCCCTGGTGACCTCATTCTCACCCACAACACATTTGACGTGTTGAATTGGTCAACTGTCACACTCGAAATTCCACTATGTTGTTTGACAACGCAGTTGGTGAATACCAACCAATTCTCCGTGCAAACACGCTCCTCAATCATCACCGAACTGATCGCACTATGTGGACATAGGGGACAAGACACACGAGTGCAATTCATCACCAGAATATTGCTAACAAGCGACTCAAACGTCTACCATGCAACTGTCTGACGACCAGTCAATGTCGATGTAGACCGATGCAAAACTCGTCGGAACAAATCTTTGACTGATTCGACTGCATTCTGAACTAGATCAGTGGATGATTAGTGTTACTGAACGTAGGTGAACAAGCCGGTGCAGACGTAGCAATCGAATCCGTGTTTGTGTCTCTCTCTCTCTCTGTGTGTGTGTGTGTTTGTTTGTGACTAGGATTAGTGGTGTGAGTCTGTGAATTAGTAGTGTGTCGGTAGCGACGTTGGATGACGTGAATGAAGTACGTGATGAGTTGTCGGCGATTTGACTTTTGAGTGTATAGACTTGTGTTGTGACGACCGGCGTTGCAATGTTGATTTTGTCGAGATGTGTGAAAATGTGTGCGTCGGTGACGTCCGTGATTGTCGTGACAGTTGTGAATGTGAGTGTTTGGGTGTGCTTTCGAGTGTGTGAGGTAGAGTGGGGGAGCGATTGATTGAGTGATAACTCGTGTATGTGTATTGGGTGATGTGTGAGTGTGTGTTGCTATTGTTGTTATGAATGATGATGTCGTTGTTGTTGGTGTTGATGGTGGTCGTATTGGTTGTGGTGTTCGTGGTGGTGGTGGTGGTGGTGTTCGTGGTGTTAGTGGTGTGAAAGTGGTATTGTAGTTGGTGTTAGTGTTTGTGTAATTGTGGTCATGCTATTGATTGTGTTTGTTTTGTTGCTGGTTGTTGTGTGCGATGTGAGTTGGTATTGTGTTGTGGTATGGTGTGTGTGGGTGCGAGGAATGTCGCCTCCGTGGCGCAACCGGTTAGCGCGTTCGGCTGTTAACCGAAAGGTTGGTGGTTCGAGCCCACCCGGAGGCGCTCACCACTTTTGACGCAACACATCAACAACATCAACACTCGCTTCGTAACACATCCATCAATACACTCACACTGTACACCTACTCCACAAACACACACCCGGATTACTCTCAATCACTGTGGCAATATACCGATCCACAATCATCTCTCCATCCAACGACTACACGTCCCCTGTCCACTACCACACGTCAATTCCACCACACTCCATTCGAATTTACACTCTACACCACTGTGTCAAACACTCTCTTCAAGCATTCCACACATCCTAACTCACACACTCACTCCCTGGTGACCTCATTCTCACCCACAACACATTTGACGTGTTGAATTGGTCAACTGTCACACTCGAAATTCCACTATGTTGTTTGACAACGCAGTTGGTGAATACCAACCAATTCTCCGTGCAAACACGCTCCTCAATCATCACCGAACTGATCGCACTATGTGGACATAGGGGACAAGACACACGAGTGCAATTCATCACCAGAATATTGCTAACAAGCGACTCAAACGTCTACCATGCAACTGTCTGACGACCAGTCAATGTCGATGTAGACCGATGCAAAACTCGTCGGAACAAATCTTTGACTGATTCGACTGCATTCTGAACTAGATCAGTGGATGATTAGTGTTACTGAACGTAGGTGAACAAGCCGGTGCAGACGTAGCAATCGAATCCGTGTTTGTCTCTCTCTCTCTCTCTCTGTGTGTGTGTGTTTGTTTGTGACTAGGATTAGTGGTGTGAGTCTGTGAATTAGTAGTGTGTCGGTAGCGACGTTGGATGACGTGAATGAAGTACGTGATGAGTTGTCGGCGATTTGACTTTTGAGTGTATAGACTTGTGTTGTGACGATCGGCGTTGCAATGTTGATTTTGTCGAGATGTGTGAAAATGTGTGCGTCGGTGACGTCCGTGATTGTCGTGACAGTTGTGAATGTGAGTGTTTGGGTGTGCTTTCGAGTGTGTGAGGTAGAGTGGGGGAGCGATTGATTGAGTGATAACTCGTGTATGTGTATTGGGTGATGTGTGAGTGTGTGTTGCTATTGTTGTTATGAATGATGATGTCGTTGTTGTTGGTGTTGATGGTGGTCGTATTGGTTGTGGTGTTCGTGGTGGTGGTGGTGGTGGTGGTGTTCGTGGTGTTAGTGGTGTGAAAGTGGTATTGTAGTTGGTGTTAGTGTTTGTGTAATTGTGGTCATGCTAGTGATTGTGTTTGTTTTGTTGCTGGTTGTTGTGTGCGATGTGAGTTGGTATTGTGTTGTGGTATGGTGTGTGTGGGTGCGAGGAATGTCGCCTCCGTGGCGCAACCGGTTAGCGCGTTCGGCTGTTAACCGAAAGGTTGGTGGTTCGAGCCCACCCGGAGGCGCTCACCACTTTTGACGCAACACATCAACAACATCAACACTCGCTTCGTAACACATCCATCAATACACTCACACTGTACATCTACTCCACAAACACACACCCGGATTACTCTCAATCACTGTGGCAATATACCGCTCCACAATCATCTCTCCATCCAACGACTACACGTCCCCTGTCCACTACCACACGTCAATTCCACCACACTCCATTCGAATTTACACTCTACACCACTGTGTCAAACACTCTCTTCAAGCATTCCACACATCCTAACTCACACACTCACTCCCTGGTGACCTCATTCTCACCCACAACACATTTGACGTGTTGAATTGGTCAACTGTCACACTCGAAATTCCACTATGTTGTTTGACAACGCAGTTGGTGAATACCAACCAATTCTCTGTGCAAACACGCTCCTCAATCATCACCGAACTGATCGCACTATGTGGACATAGGGGACAAGACACACGAGTGCAATTCATCACCAGAATATTGCTAACAAGCGACTCAAACGTCTACCATGCAACTGTCTGACGACCAGTCAATGTCGATGTAGACCGATGCAAAACTCGTCGGAACAAATCTTTGACTGATTCGACTGCATTCTGAACTAGATCAGTGGATGATTAGTGTTACTGAACGTAGGTGAACAAGCCGGTGCAGACGTAGCAATCGAATCCGTGTTTGTGTCTCTCTCTCTCTCTGTGTGTGTGTGTGTTTGTTTGTGACTAGGATTAGTGGTGTGAGTCTGTGAATTAGTAGTGTGTCGGTAGCGACGTTGGATGACGTGAATGAAGTACGTGATGAGTTGTCGGCGATTTGACTTTTGAGTGTATAGACTTGTGTTGTGACGATCGGCGTTGCAATGTTGATTTTGTCGAGATGTGTGAAAATGTGTGCGTCGGTGACGTCCGTGATTGTCGTGACAGTTGTGAATGTGAGTGTTTGGGTGTGCTTTCGAGTGTGTGAGGTAGAGTGGGGGAGCGATTGATTGAGTGATAACTCGTGTATGTGTATTGGGTGATGTGTGAGTGTGTGTTGCTATTGTTGTTATGAATGATGATGTCGTTGTTGTTGGTGTTGATGGTGGTCGTATTGGTTGTGGTGTTCGTGGTGGTGGTGGTGGTGGTGGTGTTCGTGGTGTGAAAGTGGTATTGTAGTTGGTGTTAGTGTTTGTGTAATTGTGGTCATGCTAGTGATTGTGTTTGTTTTGTTGCTGGTTGTTGTGTGCGATGTGAGTTGGTATTGTGTTGTGGTATGGTGTGTGTGGGTGCGAGGAATGTCGCCTCCGTGGCGCAACCGGTTAGCGCGTTCGGCTGTTAACCGAAAGGTTGGTGGTTCGAGCCCACCCGGAGGCGCTCACCACTTTTGACGCAACACATCAACAACATCAACACTCGCTTCGTAACACATCCATCAATACACTCACACTGTACACCTACTCCACAAACACACACCCGGATTACTCTCAATCACTGTGGCAATATACCGCTCCACAATCATCTCTCCATCCAACGACTACACGTCCCCTGTCCACTACCACACGTCAATTCCACCACACTCCATTCGAATTTACACTCTACACCACTGTGTCAAACACTCTCTTCAAGCATTCCACACATCCTAACTCACACACTCACTCCCTGGTGACCTCATTCTCACCCACAACACATTTGACGTGTTGAATTGGTCAACTGTCACACTCGAAATTCCACTATGTTGTTTGACAACGCAGTTGGTGAATACCAACCAATTCTCTGTGCAAACACGCTCCTCAATCATCACCGAACTGATCGCACTATGTGGACATAGGGGACAAGACACACGAGTGCAATTCATCACCAGAATATTGCTAACAAGCGACTCAAACGTCTACCATGCAACTGTCTGACGACCAGTCAATGTCGATGTAGACCGATGCAAAACTCGTCGGAACAAATCTTTGACTGATTCGACTGCATTCTGAACTAGATCAGTGGATGATTAGTGTTACTGAACGTAGGTGAACAAGCCGGTGCAGACGTAGCAATCGAATCCGTGTTTGTCTCTCTCTCTCTCTCTCTCTGTGTGTGTGTGTGTGTTTGTTTGTGACTAGGATTAGTGGTGTGAGTCTGTGAATTAGTAGTGTGTCGGTAGCGACGTTGGATGACGTGAATGAAGTACGTGATGAGTTGTCGGCGATTTGACTTTTGAGTGTATAGACTTGTGTTGTGACGATCGGCGTTGCAATGTTGATTTTGTCGAGATGTGTGAAAATGTGTGCGTCGGTGACGTCCGTGATTGTCGTGACAGTTGTGAATGTGAGTGTTTGGGTGTGCTTTCGAGTGTGTGAGGTAGAGTGGGGGAGCGATTGATTGAGTGATAACTCGTGTATGTGTATTGGGTGATGTGTGAGTGTGTGTTGCTATTGTTGTTATGAATGATGATGTCGTTGTTGTTGGTGTTGATGGTGGTCGTATTGGTTGTGGTGTTCGTGGTGGTGGTGGTGGTGGTGTTCGTGGTGTTAGTGGTGTGAAAGTGGTATTGTAGTTGGTGTTAGTGTTTGTGTAATTGTGGTCATGCTAGTGATTGTGTTTGTTTTGTTGCTGGTTGTTGTGTGCGATGTGAGTTGGTATTGTGTTGTGGTATGGTGTGTGTGGGTGCGAGGAATGTCGCCTCCGTGGCGCAACCGGTTAGCGCGTTCGGCTGTTAACCGAAAGGTTGGTGGTTCGAGCCCACCCGGAGGCGCTCACCACTTCTGACGCAACACATCAACAACATCAACACTCGCTTCGTAACACATCCATCAATACACTCACACTGTACACCTACTCCACAAACACACACCCGGATTACTCTCAATCACTGTGGCAATATACCGCTCCACAATCATCTCTCCATCCAACGACTACACGTCCCCTGTCCACTACCACACGTCAATTCCACCACACTCCATTCGAATTTACACTCTACACCACTGTGTCAAACACTCTCTTCAAGCATTCCACACATCCTAACTCACACACTCACTCCCTGGTGACCTCATTCTCACCCACAACACATTTGACGTGTTGAATTGGTCAACTGTCACACTCGAAATTCCACTATGTTGTTTGACAACGCAGTTGGTGAATACCAACCAATTCTCTGTGCAAACACGCTCCTCAATCATCACCGAACTGATCGCACTATGTGGACATAGGGGACAAGACACACGAGTGCAATTCATCACCAGAATATTGCTAACAAGCGACTCAAACGTCTACCATGCAACTGTCTGACGACCAGTCAATGTCGATGTAGACCGATGCAAAACTCGTCGGAACAAATCTTTGACTGATTCGACTGCATTCTGAACTAGATCAGTGGATGATTAGTGTTACTGAACGTAGGTGAACAAGCCGGTGCAGACGTAGCAATCGAATCCGTGTTTGTGTCTCTCTCTCTCTCTGTGTGTGTGTGTGTTTGTTTGTGACTAGGATTAGTGGTGTGAGTCTGTGAATTAGTAGTGTGTCGGTAGCGACGTTGGATGACGTGAATGAAGTACGTGATGAGTTGTCGGCGATTTGACTTTTGAGTGTATAGACTTGTGTTGTGACGATCGGCGTTGCAATGTTGATTTTGTCGAGATGTGTGAAAATGTGTGCGTCGGTGACGTCCGTGATTGTCGTGACAGTTGTGAATGTGAGTGTTTGGGTGTGCTTTCGAGTGTGTGAGGTAGAGTGGGGGAGCGATTGATTGAGTGATAACTCGTGTATGTGTATTGGGTGATGTGTGAGTGTGTGTTGCTATTGTTGTTATGAATGATGATGTCGTTGTTGTTGGTGTTGATGGTGGTCGTATTGGTTGTGGTGTTCGTGGTGGTGGTGGTGGTGGTGGTGTTCGTGGTGTTAGTGGTGTGAAAGTGGTATTGTAGTTGGTGTTAGTGTTTGTGTAATTGTGGTCATGCTATTGATTGTGTTTGTTTTGTTGCTGGTTGTTGTGTGCGATGTGAGTTGGTATTGTGTTGTGGTATGGTGTGTGTGGGTGCGAGGAATGTCGCCTCCGTGGCGCAACCGGTTAGCGCGTTCGGCTGTTAACCGAAAGGTTGGTGGTTCGAGCCCACCCGGAGGCGCTCACCACTTTTGACGCAACACATCAACAACATCAACACTCGCTTCGTAACACATCCATCAATACACTCACACTGTACACCTACTCCACAAACACACACCCGGATTACTCTCAATCACTGTGGCAATATACCGCTCCACAATCATCTCTCCATCCAACGACTACACGTCCCCTGTCCACTACCACACGTCAATTCCACCACACTCCATTCGAATTTACACTCTACACCACTGTGTCAAACACTCTCTTCAAGCATTCCACACATCCTAACTCACACACTCACTCCCTGGTGACCTCATTCTCACCCACAACACATTTGACGTGTTGAATTGGTCAACTGTCACACTCGAAATTCCACTATGTTGTTTGACAACGCAGTTGGTGAATACCAACCAATTCTCTGTGCAAACACGCTCCTCAATCATCACCGAACTGATCGCACTATGTGGACATAGGGGACAAGACACACGAGTGCAATTCATCACCAGAATATTGCTAACAAGCGACTCAAACGTCTACCATGCAACTGTCTGACGACCAGTCAATGTCGATGTAGACCGATGCAAAACTCGTCGGAACAAATCTTTGACTGATTCGACTGCATTCTGAACTAGATCAGTGGATGATTAGTGTTACTGAACGTAGGTGAACAAGCCGGTGCAGACGTAGCAATCGAATCCGTGTTTGTGTCTCTCTCTCTCTCTCTGTGTGTGTGTGTGTTTGTTTGTTTGTGACTAGGATTAGTGGTGTGAGTCTGTGAATTAGTAGTGTGTCGGTAGCGACGTTGGATGACGTGAATGAAGTACGTGATGAGTTGTCGGCGATTTGACTTTTGAGTGTATAGACTTGTGTTGTGACGATCGGCGTTGCAATGTTGATTTTGTCGAGATGTGTGAAAATGTGTGCGTCGGTGACGTCCGTGATTGTCGTGACAGTTGTGAATGTGAGTGTTTGGGTGTGCTTTCGAGTGTGTGAGGTAGAGTGGGGGAGCGATTGATTGAGTGATAACTCGTGTATGTGTATTGGGTGATGTGTGAGTGTGTGTTGCTATTGTTGTTATGAATGATGATGTCGTTGTTGTTGGTGTTGATGGTGGTCGTATTGGTTGTGGTGTTCGTGGTGGTGGTGGTGGTGGTGGTGTTCGTGGTGTTAGTGGTGTGAAAGTGGTATTGTAGTTGGCGTTAGTGTTTGTGTAATTGTGGTCATGCTAGTGATTGTGTTTGTTTTGTTGCTGGTTGTTGTGTGCGATGTGAGTTGGTATTGTGTTGTGGTATGGTGTGTGTGGGTGCGAGGAATGTCGCCTCCGTGGCGCAACCGGTTAGCGCGTTCGGCTGTTAACCGAAAGGTTGGTGGTTCGAGCCCACCCGGAGGCGCTCACCACTTTTGACGCAACACATCAACAACATCAACACTCGCTTCGTAACACATCCATCAATACACTCACACTGTACACCTACTCCACAAACACACACCCGGATTACTCTCAATCACTGTGGCAATATACCGATCCACAATCATCTCTCCATCCAACGACTACACGTCCCCTGTCCACTACCACACGTCAATTCCACCACACTCCATTCGAATTTACACTCTACACCACTGTGTCAAACACTCTCTTCAAGCATTCCACACATCCTAACTCACACACTCACTCCCTGGTGACCTCATTCTCACCCACAACACATTTGACGTGTTGAATTGGTCAACTGTCACACTCGAAATTCCACTATGTTGTTTGACAACGCAGTTGGTGAATACCAACCAATTCTCTGTGCAAACACGCTCCTCAATCATCACCGAACTGATCGCACTATGTGGACATAGGGGACAAGACACACGAGTGCAATTCATCACCAGAATATTGCTAACAAGCGACTCAAACGTCTACCATGCAACTGTCTGACGACCAGTCAATGTCGATGTAGACCGATGCAAAACTCGTCGGAACAAATCTTTGACTGATTCGACTGCATTCTGAACTAGATCAGTGGATGATTAGTGTTACTGAACGTAGGTGAACAAGCCGGTGCAGACGTAGCAATCGAATCCGTGTTTGTGTCTCTCTCTCTCTCTCTCTCTGTGTGTGTGTTTGTTTGTGACTAGGATTAGTGGTGTGAGTCTGTGAATTAGTAGTGTGTCGGTAGCGACGTTGGATGACGTGAATGAAGTACGTGATGAGTTGTCGGCGATTTGACTTTTGAGTGTATAGACTTGTGTTGTGACGATCGGCGTTGCAATGTTGATTTTGTCGAGATGTGTGAAAATGTGTGCGTCGGTGACGTCGTGACAGTTGTGAATGTGAGTGTTTGGGTGTGCTTTCGAGTGTGTGAGGTAGAGTGGGGGAGCGATTGATTGAGTGATAACTCGTGTATGTGTATTGGGTGATGTGTGAGTGTGTGTTGCTATTGTTGTTATGAATGATGATGTCGTTGTTGTTGGTGTTGATGGTGGTCGTATTGGTTGTGGTGTTCGTGGTGGTGGTGGTGGTGGTGTTCGTGGTGTTAGTGGTGTGAAAGTGGTATTGTAGTTGGTGTTAGTGTTTGTGTAATTGTGGTCATGCTAGTGATTGTGTTTGTTTTGTTGCTGGTTGTTGTGTGCGATGTGAGTTGGTATTGTGTTGTGGTATGGTGTGTGTGGGTGCGAGGAATGTCGCCTCCGTGGCGCAACCGGTTAGCGCGTTCGGCTGTTAACCGAAAGGTTGGTGGTTCGAGCCCACCCGGAGGCGCTCACCACTTTTGACGCAACACATCAACAACATCAACACTCGCTTCGTAACACATCCATCAATACACTCACACTGTACACCTACTCCACAAACACACACCCGGATTACTCTCAATCACTGTGGCAATATACCGCTCCACAATCATCTCTCCATCCAACGACTACACGTCCCCTGTCCACTACCACACGTCAATTCCACCACACTCCATTCGAATTTACACTCTACATCACTAAGTGTCAAACACTCTCTTCAAGCATTCCACACATCCTAACTCACACACTCACTCCCTGGTGACCTCATTCTCACCCACAACACATTTGACGTGTTGAATTGGTCAACTGTCACACTCGAAATTCCACTATGTTGTTTGACAACGCAGTTGGTGAATACCAACCAATTCTCTGTGCAAACACGCTCCTCAATCATCACCGAACTGATCGCACTATGTGGACATAGGGGACAAGACACACGAGTGCAATTCATCACCAGAATATTGCTAACAAGCGACTCAAACGTCTACCATGCAACTGTCTGACGACCAGTCAATGTCGATGTAGACCGATGCAAAACTCGTCGGAACAAATCTTTGACTGATTCGACTGCATTCTGAACTAGATCAGTGGATGATTAGTGTTACTGAACGTAGGTGAACAAGCCGGTGCAGACGTAGCAATCGAATCCGTGTTTGTGTCTCTCTCTCTCTCTGTGTGTGTGTGTTTGTTTGTTTGTGACTAGGATTAGTGGTGTGAGTCTGTGAATTAGTAGTGTGTCGGTAGCGACGTTGGATGACGTGAATGAAGTACGTGATGAGTTGTCGGCGATTTGACTTTTGAGTGTATAGACTTGTGTTGTGACGACCGGCGTTGCAATGTTGATTTTGTCGAGATGTGTGAAAATGTGTGCGTCGGTGACGTCCGTGATTGTCGTGACAGTTGTGAATGTGAGTGTTTGGGTGTGCTTTCGAGTGTGTGAGGTAGAGTGGGGGAGCGATTGATTGAGTGATAACTCGTGTATGTGTATTGGGTGATGTGTGAGTGTGTGTTGCTATTGTTGTTATGAATGATGATGTCGTTGTTGTTGGTGTTGATGGTGGTCGTATTGGTTGTGGTGTTCGTGGTGGTGGTGGTGGTGGTGGTGTTCGTGGTGTTAGTGGTGTGAAAGTGGTATTGTAGTTGGTGTTAGTGTTTGTGTAATTGTGGTCATGCTAGTGATTGTGTTTGTTTTGTTGCTGGTTGTTGTGTGCGATGTGAGTTGGTATTGTGTTGTGGTATGGTGTGTGTGGGTGCGAGGAATGTCGCCTCCGTGGCGCAACCGGTTAGCGCGTTCGGCTGTTAACCGAAAGGTTGGTGGTTCGAGCCCACCCGGAGGCGCTCACCACTTCTGACGCAACACATCAACAACATCAACACTCGCTTCGTAACACATCCATCAATACACTCACACTGTACACCTACTCCACAAACACACACCCGGATTACTCTCAATCACTGTGGCAATATACCGCTCCACAATCATCTCTCCATCCAACGACTACACGTCCCCTGTCCACTACCACACGTCAATTCCACCACACTCCATTCGAATTTACACTCTACACCACTGTGTCAAACACTCTCTTCAAGCATTCCACACATCCTAACTCACACACTCACTCCCTGGTGACCTCATTCTCACCCACAACACATTTGACGTGTTGAATTGGTCAACTGTCACACTCGAAATTCCACTATGTTGTTTGACAACGCAGTTGGTGAATACCAACCAATTCTCTGTGCAAACACGCTCCTCAATCATCACCGAACTGATCGCACTATGTGGACATAGGGGACAAGACACACGAGTGCAATTCATCACCAGAATATTGCTAACAAGCGACTCAAACGTCTACCATGCAACTGTCTGACGACCAGTCAATGTCGATGTAGACCGATGCAAAACTCGTCGGAACAAATCTTTGACTGATTCGACTGCATTCTGAACTAGATCAGTGGATGATTAGTGTTACTGAACGTAGGTGAACAAGCCGGTGCAGACGTAGCAATCGAATCCGTGTTTGTGTCTCTCTCTCTCTCTGT